TTTTTTTTTTTATCTATTTCTTCATTGTACATGCTCATTAATTGCGGGTTCTGGTGTTTCCATTCCTCTCTTTCCTTACTGGTTTGGTACTATCGAAGTGTTGTTTTTTAAAAACAGTTTTTTTTTCGGATTTGAATTTTTTGAGGTCTATGCATCCACAAATACAGGCTGAAATTTAAAGTTCCGAACTCGATTGTCAACCAGAAATGGTGCATGGACGACGCTTGAGATTTTTTATTTTATTTGAAACGTATTGAACCGGACAGGAAATCGTAAAAGATTAACACATTTTGACACCACTTATTCTTAAAAGGTCCACGTCCGCGAAATCGGGTGGGTGGAAAATTCGAAGACATGGGGAAGACGTGCGATCATCTGTTGAATTTTTCATCATGATCTATTCATCTGAATTTTCCTACTTCACATAGAAATAATATACTTCTGTGGAAAAAAGTTGATTAATGTCGGGATTCAAGGCACACCGTGTATTATGTTTTCCACCTCTTCTCGCATATTTTTTCAGGCAGAACAAGGGCATGGGACAAGCATAACATTTTTGCCTCGTCCCCAACGGGGAAGCCAAATCAGAAAATCGCGAAAAGACCAATAGAATCCCGAGATCCGTGGTCAAAAATCCTGCACAGGGAACCCTTTGGCCATCATGCTGAAGTTGCAAGAAAAAGCGAGACAATTGGATACCCTAGCCGGAGATCCCCTGTTACGAAATCATCACAATCTCGTACAGCTTTTCAGATTATTTCACGAATGAATGATTTGGTGTCACTTGTTGGCGGAATACCCGAGATGAGTTCGCTTTCGAACCGGACAGATGAAAAAGTCACCTCGTTGCAGGATCCGGGTTTCGATGATTCTCGTTCGAAGTCGGTCCTGAAAATGCTCAGATCGCCGAAAATTGAGACAGCTAAACCGACTAGGGAAACCCCTTCAGACTTTTCGAATTTTGAATGCAGGCTCGAAGCCAAGGTCAACATGATAACATTTGCTTGGCCCGAGGTTCCTTCAATAGTGTTGAACACGAAGAATTCACCGTCTACTTCGGAGCTGACTTCGAGTGCGATGCCGACGTGTGAGTTTCAGTTTTTGAATTATTCCTTGGGTTTCCATTGTCAAAGCCGGAAACTGTGGGACGAAGGATTAACACTTTTTCTGTGTTTTTCTTTCTCAATTCTTGGGATTACTGAAAGGCGGACTGTTGAACGACAAACGGCCAGTATGAATTAAAATATTGTCCGCAGTAAAATCTCAAACTTTGAAAAAATCTCGTTTAAAAAAATACTGTAGATGTTAAATCTAAAAGCCTGGAACTGTTGTTGAGAAAGTGGCACGATTTAAAGCTAGAAAATTTGTTAAAACTGTAAATTTTTGCGAAATAAGTTGGCGGGACTGTATTTGAATAAGAGCTGATTATTCTTCCCTGCGACGATTTTTTGGCGGATAGAAATGCAATGCTGTCTCATGGAGTAAAATTAAATGCCGAGACCGGAATATTTTTCCAACAAATTTTATTTCTCTTCGGAGAAAATATTAATAGATCTGACAGCCCTTTTTTTTATTAAAAGAAGTGCTTTGAAAGTAAGAATCTCTGAATAAGCAAAAATTTAATTATTTGACTATTCATGATCAAATGATGGTAAATTACTTTCAATCCCATTTCAGGTCGCGGTGTTTTCTTGTCCTGTATACACTGTACCAAGAAATTAATTTTTGTAAACAAAGAAAATCCTTGAAAATTTTATTCTGAAAAACTGCGAATTTTGACAATACAGTATATATTTTTGTAGATGCTCCTCGTTAATCTTCGAAGTGAAGATGTGATCAGAAAAACTCTTTTTTGTTGTTTTTATGTTTGGTTAGGTTCGAAATTCAGTGATGCCACGTTTCTGAGGTGAGTTTAATGTATTTTTGATGCCGGAAGTGCTTTTTTTCAGCTACTGAAGCGACTTTCGTGACAATTCCAAAACCAACAACGATCACGACATCAACAAGTTTAAAGCCGATGGAATTTCCTATTCCTCCGCAATTTAATGTTCCATCTGCTGTTCTTCATCCTCTGAGTCATTTGACCTCAATCCAAGAAGCGCCACCCAGTAAGGACACGTCACCTGACCCATTGCGATTCCGTGACCTGTTGACCTCTACTAGCAGAAATGGTTTTGCTCAACGGGAAGAGATAATTCGCACCATTTCAAGCGCGGAGCCTGGGATGAATGCAAACTCTGCGT